ATCTAGTGTATGATAAAAGTACTAAATTTAAACTGGTAATAAAGAAGCTATCTGAAATATTTCTTCAATAACGTTTATAACTTTGGATTTATTCAGTACAGATATAGATTTAAAAACATCACCCTTATTATCAAATAGCATTTGGTACTAAAAAACTAGATTAATATAGACCTCTAATGATGACCAATAAACTATTAACCTATTTTCATAATTGACATAATAGAAATTTAAACTAATGCGAATAACTTGCTATTTATGGGAATGAATACATTTGAAAAAACATTTATTTACATTTTAATATAAGTTACAAATGTAAACAAATTACATTTGATTTTATGCTAGTAAATGTATATATAAGGCATTTTAGAAATCAAAGATGAATCACCCTAATTCATTTGAATGACAGTTTAACTCATACATAGGAAACAGATAAATGAGATAATACAACAAATGACTGATTTATTAGTAAATATCACTGCCAAGACTCCTCGTGGAGGAGCATAGGCCGCCCACCAGCATTCTCCATCCAACCCTGTCATGGGCAATCCTTCCCAGTTCTTTCCTGTTTTTATTCATCATGTTCATATCACCTTCTATTTCCCAACGTAGTTTCTTTGGCGTTCCTCTTTTCCGCTTCCCTTCAGCATTTCAAGTTAGGGCTTGCCTCGTAATGCAGTTTGATGATTTTTGTAATGTATGTCCTATCCACTTCCGACGTCTCTTCCTGATTTCCTCTTCGGCTGGAAGCTGGTTGGTTCTCTCCCACAGAAGGCTGTTGCCGATAAAATACGGCCGATGGATGTTGAGTATCTTGCAATTACATTACATAATTTAAGATGAAGTTAATTTAAACTTGATTTAGTGACAAATGCCTACTAAACATGTAATTCCACCAGAATCATCATTCACCTGTATTTACAGTCCAAAAAAACTGAATCAAATAAGATTTATATCAAATACTATTGTACACTACAGACTATAGCAGATCATCACTTTAACCTTGGCTTTTTTACTCAAAGTTACATATTTAGAACAGAGTCCTATGACTATGGCTAGCAAGCATAAGTAAGTAAATAACTTACTACACGAAACATTCATATATATTTCGTTGAAACTATCTATTTTAAAAGGGTTTTTGTGGATATTATAGTAATTTCAGTGGTTGAGATCGAACCAACTTAAACTAGATCACCATGAAGAACCTGGAAGCGTTGGACGGCAGTTTCGTCCTATTATAAGACTACTCAGCAGTGTGCATCCACGATCTCGACTGGCGAGATTCAAACCCAGGACCTACCAGTCTCGCGCGCGAGCGCTTAACCTCTAGGCCACTGAGCCGGCCGGCATTCAACGGTGTTAATGTCTAACTTCAACTAATTCACTAAATTGAGCGACACATCCACCATTGTCATCAATGAGTTGCTATCTCACAACTGACCCGGATGAACTCCACTGGTCACTGCATCTCACTAAAACTCCAGGATATACCTCTTGAAGCCAGTCACTAGTGGTTTTGTAGCTCAATTTCTCAGATTAGTTGAAGTGAGACATTAACACCGTTGGGTATCAGCTCAGTGGTCTAGTGGTTAAGCGCTCGCGTGCAAGATTGATACGTCCTGAGTTCGTATCTCGAGAGGTGGGATCGTGGATGCACACTGCTGAGGAGTCCCATAATAGGACGAAACTGTCATCCAGTGCTTCCAGAATTTTCATGGTGATCTAGCTTTAATTGACTCATGATCTCAATCGTTGAAATCACCGTCGATTTCATCAATTATTTCATACACTTATGCAAACGGAATTAAATAAATTTATTTTTAATTCGTCCAATTATCTATTGCATTTATTGTCTCAAAGTTATTCTCATTAATAAATCCAAAATTTCTGAACATTTCATCATTCGGTAGCATAAAAGCAAGCATTAATTTTATTAATTTTTTACTTGAGTTACATTTATTATTTTCTTAAGGCACACTTCTGACCCTTAAATAAAGTATTTGTCTTAGCTTTTATTTGTAATAACAACTAATTTTAATGTTTTGATCAAATAAAATGGAATGCAATTGATTTACTAATATTCCGTAACTTTCATAAACCTTCTGTTGTTTATTTCAGTGACCTGTAGCCTGAATTTTAGCAGACATGAAGTTTATCATGTTGTAGACTTCCTCGTGAAAATAATTCAATTATTGAGCCTTGGAAAATCAATGGTTAGTGAATATCCATTTATTTATGGTTTAAGATTATTATTTTCTAAGCTCTTAAAGGCGAGATAAAATAAAGCTCTGTAATTTTTAATTGTGAAGTAAGCACATGAACAACCTGATTATGTCGTCATCTAGTTGTTTATTTTCCCAGCAGTATAAACTTTTAGATGCTACACTGATAATATTCAGTATCGATAGTGAAAATCTTTTTTAACTCTTTAGTTGTTTCGTTTAACTGAGAAATTCAATAATAACGGGTCAAAAGTCAGACTTGAGGATTGTGCATTTAGTACAATAAGGATATACACTCAGATGGTGATGATTTGGTGGGGTTTCGTTCTCTGAGCTGGTGTCGCAGAGGGGTTCTTCTGAACAATGGCATCAGGACAAACTTCAGGTAGTAGTGGAATATTCGAATTTCTTCCAATATAACTGACATCTCATCCTGTCAAACTTGATCTTGATTGGTCATTATTGACATTTAGGTTGTCATTATCTGCATCCTTATTTTGATTTTATCTCCATTTACCCTGATTCTTGGTCCATGATTTTTCTAATCGTTTGATAAATTCAACCGATTTCAATGTGCTTGATGATTGCTGATTAACCTGAGTGCTAAGCTTTTGAAAACTCAAATGTTTTTAGTATTTTTTCTATTCAAGATTTCAGTCGAATGCATGTCCACAGTTGTCCATATATATAGATATTTCATAGTTTTTGATCGCTAATTGATGTTCATCTATGAGAAAATGAGGGGGGTGGTCCACTTTTCCCATTTAATATTTTTCTCGATCGGAACAGTTTATTTTGTAGATAATGTATGGCTTTTCTTCTTTTCTCATTTCGGTCTTTAGTTTGCATGGGATTGATTGAAGTGATTTTGCTGGTTTATGTGCTACACCAATTTGATTGTTAGTGTTCTGTTATCTCAGAATTTTCGTGTGTTCGGTGGTCATACTATGACTTATTAACTGTTATACACTTGAATAGAAATAAGTCATATCACTTTTGACTCTTCTTGTTTGACAACCCATATTAATTAATTATGAGGCAGATTAAAGAACACATCTAAAGAATGAGCAGCACTTGGAAACAACTAGAAACGAGAGCTTAGTATAGAGTAGTTTGGAAAAACATGATTTGTGGTCTATGATCTATGTGAAGTAACAGGCGTAAGCAAGTAACTTTCATAAAACTTAATGACTATCAAAATCATTCAAAGAACCAATAAAGGTTACTTTGAGATTTGAATACTGTGAAATGTGAAGGAAGCGTAGCACTATACATGAATAAAGTATTTTGTATTTTAGCTATCTATATGCATAGCAAACACAAATGTCAAAGAAATGATATAAAAGGATTTATCTACATGGTCCAGGACATTTATTTGGTTATCCATTCATGCTTCTATATGCCTTAAGTTTCTGTATATTCCGATCAATTTTTCCATAACAACAGTCACTTGAATGACTGTACGTAAAACTAATCTAATATTGTGCTTGGTCATATAATATAGATGTAACTGTCATAAGAGGGTTTTGTGGAAATTTTAGTAAGTTCACAGTTGAATTCATGAATCAATTAAAGCTAAACTACCATGGAAAACCTGGAAGCACCGGACTGCCAATTCCTCCTAGTATGGGACTCCTCAGTAGTGCGCACTGACAGATTCCGGGTTCAAATATGGCGGGCGGGATCGTAGATGCACATTGTTGAGGAGTCCCATGCTAGGACGAAATGGCTGTCCAGGTTTTTCATGGTAGTCTAGCTTTAACTGATTCATAAATTCAACTATTCAAGTACGTGTAACTAATACGAAAATTTTAATTCAGTTTTGTATTGGTTGTTTGAATCTTCCCATTGATGTTTAGGACTGCAATTGATCAGCCTCTTATTGACATATGTAAATCCTGTACAGATTGTCACAAGCATTAATAAGCAAAGCTGGATAGTAGCTAGTAGTCAAATCCAGGACTCACTTTTCATCTTATTCGATACTCATTAACTGAATGTAACTACATCCTATAACTGCTGTATGCTGTTCACTGTAAATATCATCGCATTATTACAAATATTTTTCTTATTTATAAAATAATACAATTGTCCAATAGTATTACAACATTATTATTATTTTTAAATGATGAATATCATTGGTCAAATACAGTATCCAATCAAAAAACAGATTGATAAAATGTACTCGTATTTCTTATTTTAAAAAAATTTTTTGATAAAAGTAAGAGTTCAATTTTGTCTTAGTACACTACCAAAAAAAGAACAAAAAAAAACAGAAACCATCATGAATTTAACTATAAATTTCATATCAAACTTTGTTAAAATGACATTAATTCCTTATATGTAATTAATATAAATTATGAATTGTATGTATAATGATCCTATTTCTAATTAAAAGTAAATAAAATAAATCACAAATAATAAATATCTATAATAAATAAAAAACCAATTAATTAATTAATCAATCAATCAACCAATTAATTAATCAATTAATCAATTTGTTGATTAATTCATCAAAAAACAATGAATATTAGTCATATAATTTCAAATCATAATTATTTTTTAAAACAACAATTTACTATTTCTATAACATTATATGATCATTTATGTAAGTATTTTCTGATTTGGTATTTACCAATAGTAATAACATTTGGATTTTTTGGATCAATATTTTGTTTATTATTTTTAATATATTCAAAAATATTTTCATCTAATTTATTAATATGGCTAATAAGTATTTGTATTGGTGATTTTCTTATATTACTAACAGAAGGTATATGGATGTTATTAAAAATATGGTTTAAAATTGATATTAGAGATTATAATAATTGGTTATGCATATTTCATACAAGTTCATCAAATTATTTATTTTATTGGTCAGCATATATGCAATGTATATTATCAATACAACGTTGTTATCTTGTTTTATATCCATTACAAGTTAAATCAAAATGGATGTCTTTATCAAAACTTTTTATGTATCAAATAATAATGTCTATTTTATTGATTATACCAATACTTCCATATCCATTATATTGGCAAGTTATTAATAATGACTGTGATCCAGTTAATGAAAAGATATTTCGTTTGACAACATTATGTGATTTAATATTTTGGGGATTAATACCAGTATTTATTATGACTACATGTACGGGAATTATTTGTCGTAATTTATTAACAAGGAATAAATTCACAAAGAAAACTATTCAATCCAAAGTGAAAACTAATCAACATAGTAACTATTATTATTCAACTCATACCACAAGAAGTATCAATGATTTATGTAAAAGTCATTATCCAGAAGACTCAGAAATACATGTACATAGTGAAAAGAAATCATGTCGTTCAGAAAGTTTAATATCAAATCAAGAAAATATATTTATTACAAATAGTCATACAACTCGTTCTTTGAATGACTTTCGAACAACATCAGAGTTAAATAAACGTAAATATATCTCACAAGATAGTCATACACATGTAACGCCATTATTACTATGCATGAATTTTGTTTATATGGCAAGTGTTTGTCCATTACTTACATATTTTTTATATTTAAATTTCATTGTAGATAGTATTGATAATAATATGCATAAATTTCTATACTACTTATTTCGTAGTTTTTGCTTATTGAGTACATGTACAAATTGGATATTTTATTGCGTTGCTGGTAAAAAATTTCGTGATCGTACAAAACAATTATTATTATCATTATGTAATTCAAATAAAATTTCATCAGTCATCAATGAAAATGGTTTCTTAATTATTAAATATACTGACAAGCATAGGTGTTCAGTTTCAAATATAACAAGAACTAAAGGATTATCATCATCTGGTCATTAAACAATTCAAATATTATCAACCAACTATATATCATTGTATATTTTAAATTTAACTGGATATTCATTCTACTTAATTTGTATAATGCCTTGGATCCCAATAATGAATGATCTTAACTATTTTTTCCATATAACAAACAACTTAAGCCATTTGTGATTCATTTTGTAAACAAAAATTATTGTATCACCTCTTATTCATTTAATTGTTGTGAAATACGTAAGAAATTGCTTCCTTTTTTTAATTGTTATTATTATTGAAAACATTCAATTAAGTTTGTCAATCATCTCACTGTTACATTTATGTTATTTCAGAATCAGACTAACTTTTTTCTCTTTTAAAGTTACATTTCATATTGTCATTAAAGAAGGAACGACTCAACAGTATTTGACTGTTGCTCTATATACTTAAATCATGAACATAATTCGAAAGGGATTTTAACGAAAAACATATAGAAGCTTTAAGAAAACTTAAAACAAATGACAACTTATTAATCACGAAGCCACACAAAGGATATTGGGTAGTACTCGTGGATAAAAATAACTATATAAACAGAATGAAAGCCCTTTTAAATGATATGAGCAAATTTCAGAAACTGGTTGTGAAGAACGATGTAGTAGACAAGATTGAAGAGCAACTTATAGATTCATTGAAACAAATTAAACAACAAGGTTTTATTTCAGAAAAGATGTTCGAAATGTCGAAAACTACAGGAACGATTACACCAAGGCTATATGGAATGCCAAAAATACACAAAAGTGGCTTGCTTCTTCGACCAGTTTTGGATATGAATAACTCAGCCTATCATACTATAGCAAAATGGTTGGGGCACATTCTAAAACCATTACACAAGGAAATTATCAAGCATAGTGTCAAGGATTTCTTTGAATTTGTTGAGAATATAAAAAATCTATCGATCAAGGCTCAATTCGTCCCTTCTTTATTTACCAAATGTCATAATTGGAATTTTCACTATATTGTCATTAGTTTAGTTAAAATATAAATTCATCAAATAGCCATACCCGAGCATTCATATTGAAGAGAATAGAAAAAACAATTGAAACTTATAAATCGTAGATATCTTTCCTTAATTCTTTGTAAGTACCCGAAAAAAAGTGATTTTGAAGTTCTTATTCTAAACAACTAATTGTATATATTTCCATAATAAAATACTCATTGGAAGTAAAAGTAGATTTACCGACAGATATAGTGGTTCTATTATAACTTGTAGCCTTGTGCCTCTATCAATATATATAAGATAATGATACCGCCAATTAGAGAACAGTGACTTATCGACCAGACCAATGACGCATAAACCTGTACGAGAAGTCTAGAGTACTTATCGGTCCTTCTTCCTGCTTAACCCTGCCTGTTGAGTCGAGAACACCAATCCTAGCCTCTTTGATATGAATCATTATTTTTCAAACATACTGCGGTTATATACAAATCAAACAGACCACATCGTACAATAAAACAGAAAGTAACATTTTTACAAGATCTAGTCAAAAGTGGCTGTGAATTTAAGAGACTGTAATAAATAGACTGGGCATAACTCAAGAACGGTAAATCGTATAATAATGCCCTATAGTTCAAAATAAAACTTATAATAAGAATATGATTATGCATTGTTTAGTTATTTAACAATTATACAATAAGAATATATGTATTGTATTGGTCCATAAATAGTTCTCAAATGTTACCATTCATAATTCTCGTCGAGATATAGTAGGTTCATGGGTAATTAAAAATTTGAGCACTACTCTTTGTTTAGCATTATATTAGCAGTAGAAATATTGATAAGTTTGTAATACCATTGTTTAGCATCTATATTGCTTACCTTTTGGGTTACTATTATTTCATTCTATGCATTGCTGAAAGTATTTCATTGTTTATTACAGATCCATAACTATTATTTAAACACCAATCCTTTTAACTGTTAATTAGAGAAGTAATGCATAATTGATGCTTTCAAATTGTTTTATCTACTCCCTTCACTTTTGACTTTACAATGCAGATATTGTTGATATCTCATAAAAGTTTGAAGGTGGTTTGTTATTGTGGTAATTGAGGAAAAGACAGTAAACTTAGTTAATTTAATTGATACTTAAAATAGTCATACGTTGATGAAACATAATATTCTTTTTTCATAATCTTTGATTGTACTTCTATATTATCAGTATTAGAAAAATAGGAACAGTGTGACTACTTCCAGTCATTCATTTTTCTACATCAAGTTATATTTTTTCAAAAATACTTAGAGTTAGTATAGGGATGGTATGTTCAAACTCTGATATAATGCACTAGTGACAATGGTAACTATCCAATTTAATGAAGAATGTATTCTTTATCATAACATAGATTTAATCCGAACTTAATTTTAACTGATCATGCTTGGTAGATAACTATTTAGCAGAGGGACTTGAAGTGTATAAAACTATAATTGTTTCTCTATTTTCTAACTTAGTTCATTTATTCATATTAATAAATCGTGAAGTCATACTGATATAATTGTGAAAGAAATTGAAAGCACTTTATTTTATAGCAAGCATTCCCATGATAAAATTAGGAATAAACTTCTTAATACGAATTAGAGGCTATCCTGACTAGGTCAGATTTTTCGTGGAGGTTTCAGAACATGCTGCATTGCAAAAAGTTATAAGATGGGGAATTACCGAAAAGTAAGGAGTAGTATTAATCTTATTCTGAAATTACAGGAATCTAACCAAGTCGAATGTAAGACAAATGATAATCATGATCATCTCTTCAAATAAAATAAAACGGGTGTTCAATTTATGTCAAGCTAATATTTATATAAGATTGTACAGCTGCGAAAATAGATTCATTGAAATGAGTTCTCTTGCTGATATGTGTGTTCTATTCTGAAAACCGATAACCATCTTTTTAGTCATTGAGATCACGAAGAGATCTAAGCTATACAACTATTGAAAACCTAGAAGAACTGGATAGCTATTTTTCATAGTATGGAGCTGTTTGCAATGCACATCCAGTACACAGCTACCGTTCAACGATTTCTACAATCGTTTACTGATGATCTTTTTTACTGAATAGATAATAAGCATGTATTTTCTTTGATAATTTCATTCTCTAAATTGTATTACTAGCAATTTATTCTATCTTCATTAAAAAATGTAGCCAATCGCTCTAAGCATTCAACTTTAAATCAACAAACTCAGTTTGAACGTACATTCTCATCTATTATAATTTAAATAACTGTAAAGAATCATTCATCTTTGTGAAAGGAGAATGAGTCATAGTTAATTTGAACAAACTACCTTTTATTGATAAATTATGGTAGATTAATCTAGAATTTTATTAGTTGAGATCATGAGTCAACTGAAGCTAGATCACCATGAAATACCTGAAAGCACTGGATGGCCGTTCCGTTTTATTGTTGGAGTCTTAAAAAAGTGCTCATCCACAATCTCGCCTCGAGAAATTGGAACCCACAAAAACACCTGATATTAATCAACATATGCTCACTAGTTACTGGCTTCAGGAAATATTTTCTGAAGTTCTAGTGAGAAGCAGTGACCAGTGGAGTTCAACCGGGTCTATTGTGCTTTAGTAACTCACTGGTTGATGTCTCGCTCAATTTCGTGGATTGGCTAAAGTCAGACAATAACACCGTTGGATGCCGGCTCAGTGGTCTAGTGGTTAGGCGTTCGTGAGCGGAACTGACAGGTCATGGGTTTGAATCTCGCCAGGTGGAATCGTAGATTTACATTGTCGAGGAGTCCTATAGTAGGACGAAACGACCATCCAGTACTTCTAGGCTTACCATATTGGTCTAGCTTCAACTTACACATGATCTCAACCATTAAATTTACTATAATATCAAAAAACCCTTCTAATACTAATCTAGAATTGTTTATTTTTTCGATATACATTTTTATTATAAACTAACATTTTTCTATACCAATGGTAGATCATTTCACATATGAACAAGTAAATTTGATTGATTATGGTAATTAAATGAATATAAGCTAATTAGACATTTAATTCACAATGGAATGATATTTTTGTTTAGATTTCAAGTGATTTCCATATAAAAATTTATAAAAAAAATTAGAACAACTAAATTAATATACACTATAAAATGTATTTGGGATATTTGGGCGGATATGGATTCCTTGTTCATTTGTTCCCATACAAACAATCAATGTGAATCTCTTAAAATTTCGCGCATTTCAATGTTTTTTTCCTGCTAATTTCAATGTTTGAAATAAAATCTGAATTAAAAGTTTCCTTAATTTTGATAAAAAACGAGTAACTGTTTTAATGAATATGAAGTATGACAACATATCAGATATATCCAGCTGGTGTATTTGAAATAAGAGGGAAGCCGTTCCTGGATTCCAATATTAATCACATCATATCTATCCTATAAATAATTTGTGTTAATACACTAGGAACTAGTATAGTTCAGTTTCATAAACGTTTAACAAGTGCATAAATTGAAAAATATTGTCTTTTCTAATAGATATTTGTGAATAAATAGTCCTCATTTGCTTCAATTTATATATCAGCTACTATCGTACGACTGTGTCTACTTTTTGTGTTTTCTAAAGTTTCTAATCTGTTTTATGTTCGTTAATATATGCCATGGTTGACTTCTTTTGATCTTTGATTATTACTTTAAGTTTTTAATTTCTGTTGGTGTTAGTTTCCACGATCCCCTTCATTGCTATAGGTAATTTTCTTAACTCCACTAACATGAGGTGCATCATCGTAAATCAAAGCACACTTTAACAATTTTTGAGCTATGTTATTTAAGCCTGTCAAAATATGGATGTCAGTCCATGTCGAATCAATGTAACATATAATGAAGATGTCCGACATCTAGTTTAGTAACTCGTGTGTGCGTCTAGGATTATCTGTATGCCAGAAACTTTGTTAGTCATCGCATTTATCTTGCTTTTTTCATTTTTACAAGCCTCTCAATGAAACGATTAAATTACGTTTTTCATCAAGTATAATATATTGGC